TTTTTTTTTTTTTTTTTTTTTTTTTTTTGCTTGAAGATACTATTGTTTAAATTGCTATTTTCTAGAGCCCAATTAACTTGATTACGACAGTATGCTCTGAGTGGCCCAAATTCATGCAGTAAGATAGATTATTTTCTTTCATTTCAATAAATTTATTCATTTTCCATGATAGCAAGATACTAATTTCTATCAAGCATTCTGTTTCAACAAGACTTGGTTGCGTATATAGTTAAAATCCATTCATTTCTTATCAAATCTTGAAATAAAACAGGAAAAGTATGTTCTTGTGGATGCCTTTTTTTCTTTTTATATAGAGACGTACAAGTTTATGCATATTGCTTTTGCTTTTTTGGCATGGTGGTTGATTCTGTTTCATCTTTGCTTTATAATTGTTAGGTACGAGCTGCAATTAAGGTGAAGAATTGTATTATAATGTTTCACTTCAATAGGAAGGGCTGCAAGGTACTTTGTCAATGAGTAATTGAATATCAAAGTTGATATATTCTAGTATCTTGGAAAAATGAACCAGTTACTCTCAAATTGGGTTTGACTTGGCTAACTAACACTATCCTGTGATTAATATCCATATCATTTTTTATGCAAATTGTGAAACTTAAAATCAAGGGATGTGATGTGCCCTTGATGCCAGTATTTTGGGATTAGTATTCATACTAGAACACAGATTGAAAATGTGATGATTGTATCTGTACCAAATTAATTATGCCAATAGCTCGTTATTACTTCTGACTAAGCATTTTTTTTACCGACTGAACTTAGTGGTCATGAACAAGAGAGTACGTTTAATGATGAATAGTGTGTGGAGTAAAATAACTTGAGACATGTTTGAAGTTTCTTCTATTCTGTTGGGGATTCACAATTTCAACATAATTAGGATAAATGCTTTATCTAAATCCACTATTACTTGTGGACCTGTAAGGATATATTTGAATAAACTTTTTCAAAAATATGTTTAGGAGAAGAAAATAAGAAATACACCCAATGCTAAAATAAACTTATGTACACGCTAATTGATGAAGTTTTTTTTTTCATATCTGCATATCTTCTCTAAGATATATTTTAACTTCTGGAATTCATACCTAGCACCACATAAACTAGTCCTAAAGAAGCAGGAGATGGCAAATGAACTTTGGTAGATGCCATAGACATACGTTGAGGAATTCAATAACATGAAATGTTGGCTGTGAAGTAGTAAGCAACTTGAATTAACGATACTATGTTGCTATATATTCGGGCACTGTCAAAAAGTGATTTCACATTATGCTGAAAAAAGAAAAAAGAAAAAAGAAACGGAGAAACATAGAATAAGAGGGGTTGTCTACACTCTACATTATTAAAGTGGTATAATCAAGAATTAATATGTTACATCGGTGAGAGTGCATTGTAATTGATTTGTATGTTAATTGGAAATCATGGAGTTCAACAAGCGCCTGTGGCCTAATGGATAAGGCGCCTGACTTCTAATCAGGCGATTGTGGGTTCGAGTCCCACCGGGCGTGAGTCATGTATGCTCATTTATGGATATCTTTCAAAAAAATATGTTAAATTTTTATTATGAATCTTAATTATTTTCTCAATTTTTATTATGAATCTTAATTATTTACTAAAATCAGTATAAAATCTTAATTGAGTGGTACAGTATGTCATCTTCATATAAAATCTTCTAAAATCAGTACCTTTACCAATAAAAAGGATACCACTTTTTGTTTTTCAATTTTATCATATAATAAAAAACTGTCTATAATTAAAAAAAAAGGCACTTATTAATTAACTAAAAAAGGGAGTGTTTTTATTTTAATTAGTTTTTATATAATACCAGTACATAAAGACACAAGTGAGCTAAACATCTATAACTTTCTGTTGTTATATAATCTGTTATGGCACTTGTTATAAGAATATTTTGCTGACCCTTGTAACTGCTTGAAATGGTTTTGAAAGTTGAGTTGTACAGTACTACAGTTAGTCATATCTATTATCTATACATAAATTTTTCTTAAATTTTATATAAACTCCATCGAATACTGATCTGTACAGTACTACAATTAGTCATATCTATTATCTATACATAAACTTCTCTTAAATTTTATATAAACTCTATCGAATAATGATATGTACAGTACAGTACTGCAATTAGTGATATCTGTTATCTATACATAAACTTCTCTTAAATTTTATATAAACTCCATTGAATACCGCCAAACAATGTAACCATTAGGATTAGCTTAATGATTAAATAAAAAAAATAGGTAACTGAACATTTAATGAAAAAAAAATAATCCAAACCCCTTAACTCCATAATAGATATCAAATTATTTCTTAAATAGGTATTTATTATAGATAATTTAAATAAATATATTCATGTAAGTTATTCAATGAGATCAAAATAGATTTTAAGTTACTTAACTTTTTAAAAATATATAACATACGTTATATAAAAAGATAATATTACTTTTTTTAGGGGAAAAAGATAATATTATTTAAATTTATTTCATTTAAACTTATAAGATTAAAATATAGTAATTTTTTAACTTTTACTTTAAACTTATAAAATTAAATTATTTTAGATTATTAAATTTATTTAAACTTATGGGATTGAAATATTTTAACAATTAAATTTAGTTTTTAAATTGAAGATTTATAATTAATAAAATTATCTGTATAATATTTAAATAATTTAAAATTTGACTTTATCATTTTAAAAAAATATTAGAATAAATAAAAGACATTACTACATTTTTTTATCATTTAATAAATATGCACAGGTAATGAAAAAATTTGTGAGTATCTATCCTCACAAATATGGAGGTAGGATTGTGACTGTGAGAAGACAAATGAAGCCATGCCTTGGGTTCATGTGTGTTGTTTAGTTTAAGTTATTATATTATATAGTTTAGTATATTATTTGTAGTTAATTTGTTAGTTAGATTACACGATTTAAGAATATGTATATACATAAATATTATCTGTAAAAGTGTATTTTGATGAAAGTGATATTGGTGAAATCACACATTTATTTAAAGACTAATACTTTGGTTCTAATAAAATTATTTTACTATTTTTATTATTTTATTATGTATATATTAAATCAAATTATTTTATTAATTTTTTTTGTAGCTTATTTG